ATAAGGGACTCAGGAATTACTTGCTTAATTAAAAATACATCTTAAAGAACAAAAGAAAGATTTTAAGCATGCAAACTTTCGGTGCTATTTTAGTCACGTGGGTCTTTCGCTGTCCCTCATGATACTACAAGTGTGCCACTGACTTTGCTTGTGCATTTGGTTGGCTGGATCACATGTGAAACATTAATAGCACAGGTACATTTTCTTATCCTTTAGAAACCTGGAGAGGAGAGGGGAGTCAGCAGGGAGGAGCTATCTAATCACTAGGAAACCCTAATATCTGATCATCTAGTTACAGAGATCAAGTTCTATCTAGCTCATCAGCTGTATGTCCTTGTATTGACATTAAGTCTTCCCCTTAAAGCACAAAGCATTTCTCATTTTCAATTTTAAGGCTGCAGAGGGATTGACTGTACTGTTGTTACCAAGAGCACAGCCCAGAGTCCAATTCGGAGTCCTTGATTTTCGTTGTTTTCAAACCCTCTCATCAAGCCTTCTTTCTCTTACCCTGATTTCCTCTCATTTCTCTGCTGCTCCTTTCTTTGTACAGTTTGTCCTAATTCATGAAGAAAAAACCTTCAAGAGCAAAGAGGAAAATGGGTGGTAATCATTAGAAACGACCAATTAGAATTGAGCCCATTCAATATGCTTAGATGAACAAGGTGTTTTCTCTCTTCTGCAATATTCCACTGAATAGATGAGTGTATTCACATATAATTTCATGTGATTACCCTACAATAGGAGTTCCTAGCCACAATTCTCTATCAGGTGTTGTTAAGCATATAAACAAACTGCCTGCAAGCAAATCCTGTCCATTCAGTATTTATTTTCCTTTCATGAAAATTCTTTGTTGGTGAATTCTGGCAACGTTGACTATTAAAATCACAAGAAAGGAAAATTTGAAGTTGGGAGAGATGTGGAAGAATCTTTGTCACAAAAATGTGTCTTGTGTCAAATGAATTCCTCCCTGAGGAAAAACTACATAGAGGCCAGAATAACTCATAGTCAAAAGCAATATTAAATGATTAAAAATAAAAGCAGAAACATTAAGATGCTGTTGTGGACTTATTTTGTAGCCAAATAACCAATACCAAAGAGAGGGCAGCCCTGTTTGAAAAGACTGGTATAAAACTGTCTTTCTTCCATCATTTACCCCTGAAGTAGGGATTCTTATCCTGAAATACTCAATGGGCCTCAGGGATGTGTGGATTCTCAACAATTAGGGGGTGTTCTTGTATACATGGGTCTTTTTTTCTGGGAGATGATCTGTAGTTCCTATCAGATTTTCAAAGAGGTCTACTATAAGAATCACTGTTCTTAGAAGATTCTTTAACGAAATGTTGGATACAATGATATCAGTTACAGCTCAGCGTTCATGAAATCGAAGATGTGCATTTGAGCTATTTTTCTCTGGAAGACAGGTCAGGTCTGTCTGAATAGCTGCTGCAAAGTATGACAGGAAATTAGAGAGTAGCTCAGAATTGGACTTGGGCAGGCCCATTGTGTGAACTACAGTAACACTAATGTGATACCAAAATTATATCAGCACCA